GTCAGTTAAATAACATGCTGCTGTCATTTTGCACATCTCTGATGTTTCTGCTATTTTCACATATTCATTACTGTAAACATGTCCTTAGCTGTATATTGATTATTTATTTCCCCAGGTGCACAGTTTTTATATTGTTAAAACAATTTACAGTACAGTATATTATTGGTTATGTTTTAACTCTTCGCTATTTTGTTATTCTTAGACATTTTTCTAAGATCCACATTTGTGACCTTTTTTTTCTATAATCTTTTGTACTACTGTAAACACCAGAATTTCCCCATTGTGGGACAATAAAGGGATTTCCCCCCCCCTATTTTATTCTATAAAAGGGATATAAAGATATAAGTCAATCTAAACAATGTATGTATAAAAAATGATCTGCAAAATCTCTTATATTCATCAAAAAAAGTACTTAGTTAAGGTAATTGCGCAAAATAGCAATTAAAAAATAATATCAGATAAAAGCATATCAGAATAAATAAAATCCTATCAGATTTATAGTCCCACACTACAGATATATTAGAATCTGTCCTCAAATTACAGCCAAACCCATTTACACATTAACGGATAAAAACCTTTATTTAAATAAAACAATACCAGCCACATATCTGGCTCAACAACTATTAAAACAACTATTTTCATTAATTTCAGATGGGACTACATACTATATTATATTAAACGGAACTTCCAATATTTACTACTGTTCGGCACCAAGTACCTTTTTCCTCTGATCACGGAGCAGGTTTTGCAATGAATCATGGGATATCCAAGGATAGATAGGATACACCTGACCCATCCTTCAAACCAGGCAAAAGGAAATACATTTGTAGGCCGCATAAAGAGGAGTCTTGGAATCTGATCAGACCTCGGCGCCATGCTATGATGTAATCGGGCCTTCAAATCTCGCCTTCGCAGGAGGCATCCCATAGATCTGAACGCAGCCTACTTGTTGAATTTAGGGCTTTTTCCTGTCTTTCATTACTGGGGGACTGATTAATCCAGGTGTCACTGGCCCTGGTTACTGAGGTCAGGCAAGTCTGGATTCATCAGTGCATCCAGTAGAAAAATATAGGAAACAGAAGAGCTGCCTTCAGGAGAGTTGTGCATAGAGCCTATTCGCTCTCAGCAAAGACATTTTTGAAAGCAGAATACAAATGATAAACAGAAATGTCTTTTATTTATTTATACATTTTCTAAAAAAAGAAAAAGACATTTGCACTGGTGCAAATAAGGAGGGTGTCGGTTCAGAAACTGTTCAGTTAACCTTTTCTGGGTTTATACTGGGAGTTTGTTTTGCAGGCTCAGGGTCACGATTTCATGTTTATAGAAAGGATGCAAATATGCAACATCTAGTTTTATTCCGTCCTTATTATTCTTTTTAATTTAGAGTATACAACTGTATATCACAAGGGATTTCTGTAGAAGTTGTATCTAGATTCACAATCAAAACACAGACGTGGCAAAAAAAAAAAAATATTTAACAGCATTTAAAGCTACAG